AGCTTGGCTGCTTCGCGGCCTCCGCGGGCCCCGCCTGCTCTAGCAGCACCCCTGGGGTCTGGGTCCCCTGTGTCGCCCCCGTCCGCCTGCAGCGCCCGGCGCCCGCCCAGGAGCGCGCAGCTGGGGTGAGCCGAGGCCGAGGATGCTCCAGACGCCCGCGGGAGCCCGCGGCGGACGGGGCATCTCGGCGTCCGCGCAACCGGGCCCTCCTCCCGCCTCTCCCGGCTGCGAGCCGAGCCGCCGCAGCCCTGGCTCTCCGTTTGCCAACTGCGGAGGGGCGCCGAGACCCCACCCGAGCCAGCGTCCCGAGGCCTTTGTCTTGCGCGTTCGGCGGGTCGGCCGAGCAGAGCGCCAGGACTGGAGGCGCCGTGCCCGGGTGGGGGCCCTGCCTTGGGATGGGGGGCGGAGGGAGCGGGAAAGCATGCCCCTTCTTTCCTGTTCCGGCCATCTTGTGACCCAGATCCGATCAAGGGGGCGAAGGTGGCCAGCAGCGCGGTGTCCCAGTCTGGAGCGGTGGCGGCGAATGGAGATGGACGCTTCTGACCCGCGCGCCCCATTGCCCTGACCGCAGCGGGGGCGCGCAAGTCGCCCCCACGTTCATCTCCGAGGCCCTTGGCCCGGAGCATGGGTTAATCACTGTAAAAGTACCGAGGCATGGAAAATAGGAGGGATAAGGGGCTGAGATCTGGTATTTCCTCAGCTAAGATCCTGGTTCATTCGATCGTTCTGTGCTAGGTGCTGGGGATATATCGGTGGGCGAGAGAAACCACGGTCCTTGTACCCGCTGATCCTGTAGCCTAGTGGATGGAGCCCAGAGTGCACGGACCTGCCAGGTTGGTATCCTGATGCTCTAAAACGGATGGGGGAAACAGGCCTAGCGCTGACAAATTTCTTCTAGATCAGGCCCAAGTAAATGGAAAAAATCAAACTGTGAACCTATCTAGTCTTTAGGACTTTTATGCCGTGCTGCAGTGAATCGTTAACAGTTCTTTTTCTCTAAAGACCCACTAAAAATTATTTGGATGTATGGTTTATTACGAAGCCATATGAAGTGCATGTTTTATTTCCTGGATGCTTTTGTATGGGTTTATTTCTAGTTCACAATATCTGGAAAGTGCTAAAAATATTTGATATTACAACTTTGCTCCCAGTTACTCTGAATTGTATTTTCCTTTCTTCTATTACATATTTGGTTGCTAGGAAAGAAAAAAAATTTCCTGATGGTTGGTCCAAGCAGGGACTCCCCGGTGGATTGAGGAATGTCTGGCTTTTCCTCAGCTCATTGATCTCTGTGGTGACCACTGGCTGCCCCCAGAAGACCCAAAGAATGAGAGGGTTGAGGTCTACCAGTTGCTGCTAGAAATATTTTTGCCTCTCCAGAAGACAGAATGCAGCTCCGACATAGATTTGTAAGGTACCTATGGCCCTGTAAAATTTGATGATAAAGCTGATGCTTAAAATTCCCCTCCATCTGTTTTTACCTTCAGGACTTTGAGAATATATCCTTTTAGAAAGACTATTACATATCTTGGGAATTCTTTGGTTTGTACTTTTATCAAAATGCTATATTTAGGCTGCCAACCCATAGAGGAAGAAAGACTCTTTTTAAAAAGTAGTTTTTACAACCACATTGTATATCGACAAATAAAATAAAAAATAAAAAAATAAAAAGTATCTTGGATGTAAGAAATTTAGAAAGCCTGCCATCAAGTATGATTAACTAAAAGTTTGATTTTTAAAACAACTTTATTGAGGTATAATATTAAAAAACGCACCTTGATCGTAAGTGTACATACAATTTAATGAATTTTGACAAATGTATGTATCCGGGTAATCAACACTGCAATCAAAATGTACAACATTTTTTTTTTTTATTTTTTATTTTTTATTTATTTATTTATTTATTTTTTGTCTTTTTTCGTGTCCGGCAATGGATCGCAACCCTCAGTGTTGCCCCCGTACCGGACCGGGGACCGGCAACGAGATTGCAACCCTCGGTGTTGCTCCCGCACCTCGCTCAGCCAGTGAGCGGGAACCGGTCTGAAAATGTACAACATTTTATTGCTTAGTGTTTTCTAAGTTGTGTGTAAGAGGAGGATGAATATAGATATTTTTAATCTCAAAACCTAAGGCGAGGACAGGAACGAATAACCAGAGGATGGCAGCTAGGACCAAAAGTTCCCGGGGATGTGGCCCCCCCCCGTGCCTGCCTTAAGGGACAGGGAGTGTCCAGCCCCAAAGACGGGGAACCGGCGCCCAGGAGGTGCCCTCTCCGGGTGGACGGGTATGTCCCGGCGGTCCCGCCTACGAGGTCTTTTCTGGTCCCGCAGGGCCCTGGACTCACGCTGACTGCGCGCGAGCCGGCGCGCCCTTTGCTCGGGACTGGCCCGGGCGCTGCCATAGCAACGTCCTGGACGCCCAGACGTTAGGCCGCGGCTGCCGCCGCCGCCGCCGCCACCACCACCGCCGGGACTCCGGCCTTGTCCTTCTCCCGAAGGGTGTGGCGGCGGCGG